GTGAAGAGCCGAGCCAGCATATTGATGAGTGCTGATGGTAGGTTCTTCAGGTGTTCGGGTCTGTGCCGGGTGCTATTTGCTACTTTACCGAATGGCATGTCAAATTTCGGAAGGGAGAACATTGGGAATGACATACCCATCCTACAGAATTTGGATGTGGGTAGATGGATGTGGCTATCTAAAAGATCTGAGTAGAAGTCATGGATAATCTTCTCCATTGCCCTTCTGGAAGGTGTGATAGATCCATTAGGACATCGGAGGGCAATCATCTTGGTCTTGTTGTTGACGAAGGACAGGCAGATGTTGTGAATGCTTTTCCTGGCTTCTGCTGCATCGGCCAGCACTGCTGCCCTTGTCTCTTTGATGTCTTCCTTTATCACTTCTCTGCACTACTTTGCAAGCTTGGACATTCACTTGCTATTGCCTGAGGCTTGCGCCAAGCCACATTGGTAATTGAGCTCAAAGGTATTCAAACACAGGTGTCTTTTTGTGGCATTCTTCATCAATGTTGTCAACGACAGCATCTTCCCATGTTGCCACAATAGTGCCAAAGAACTCCCAATTAGTGGTTGTTCTGGGAGTTCTCTTCTTAAATTTTGCAGCCCTTTCTCCCTGTTCCGTGAAGTAGAATTTTGCATGAAGGAGAAGGTGGTCCAATCCTGTTTGGAATTTTGGTACAACAGCGACATCAGTCAGGCAAGAACCTCGATTAAATATGATGTGGTCAATTTTATTGTGGAACCGTCCACCAGGAGACTTCCACATCCAACGTTTAGATTCATCCTTCTGGAACTGAGTTACCATGGATGGTCTTGGTCGACATGATGAATTCAGGTAGTCACTCACTGTGTTCGTTCCATTCTCGGTCATGGGTCCCAATGTGGAATTCTTCCACTGATCTTCTCAGTCCTATCTTGGCATTAAAATCACCAACAATCATCTTGGAGAAGGTGTGGTCTTCTTTATAGAACTTCTCCAGCTCCATGTAGAATTTCTCAATTTCTCCTTCATTATAATTGGATATTGGTGCGTAGACAACGAAGACAGAAACTGCTGGCAGTGAGCCACATCTATTCAAGTGTAAACGTCCGATTCGGCTTGTTAGGCATTCAAATGAATCAATGCTCATGGCCAAGTTCGTGTTGACAAGGACAACGACACCACCGATGTCTCTTTTGCCACATGTTCTGAGGAGCAATTCTTCTCCAGTGTTTAAAATGGCTTGATGTGATTGATACCTTCTTGTCTCGGTCAGACCAATGATGTCATACTTGATCTTTCGCACTTGTCCATCAGGTCCTTGATGGATGCATCCAATGCCAATGTACGTGCATTGAAAGTACAGACATAAATTTTGTCCTTCTTCGTTTTGGCAGCCTAGTTCGTCCTTGAATTTTATCAGCCTCCCCTTCCTCATCCTTCTTAACACTGCCATATTGGTGGCTCTTTCAGGGTCAGGGGAATGAGACCCATTGTATTTACTGGTTTTGGCAAATCAAATATGCCATGGATAGCTTGCCAGGCTCTGTCATGCAGGCGGGATATTCTCTGTAGCTTTCCAGGCTCTCCAAGAGGAATAGAGACTTTTAGGGTGGCCTTTAATTGTCCTTGCAGGTGTTCCCATGGTTCAGACCATAAATACCTCATCGGCAGACCCCCAACACATCCAGTACCTCCACTATCCAGGCGCCGCCACACTCCTGATACTTTCCTGATGCTAGGTCCAAGACTCACACACAAGTGAAGCCTCACAGAACCAGGTAAGCGAAACTCTGTGACCTTGGACTCCAGGCTCAACAGTACCTGGGAACAGAGATCCTCTACCTGCTCCCACCAATCTCCGGCGACCCAGGGATTAAACCCAGAAGCCAAATCCTACCCTGCCCTGCCTGCTTCCACCAATCTCCAGAGACTCAGGGATTACACACTGAATACCAACCCTACCAGTAGCAGATAAATACCTCATTGGCAGACCTCCACTACCTCCACTACTTCTACTATCCAGCTGCCGCCACGCTCTAGGACACTTTCCAGACACATCATAAGACCCATCTTCTAAGACTACCACACCATATTTGATGAGGCTTAAAATATGGTTTGAACCATGGGAACACCTGCAATGAAGGTCAATACATTGGGCATATGCGATTGACCTCTTCAAGTTCCATTTGAGAAAGTTGACAAGCTATACTGAAAAAATGCTGAATTTTGAGTATACAATCTATAAAGTAAATAGAGTTAAATCATTTCATTAGTTCAGAGATTAAAAGAGTGCTTCTGCTTGGCACTTTTCTCACTTGACATTATCACGGTTTCCTACACTTATTGATGTTAATGTTTTATTTAGTATATTTAACTTAAGCATGACTGATATTCTGTATTAATAGGTTATTGCTCTTTAAAAATAATTATGATTGGTTGGAAGCTTGACACAAGTGTGTGTATGGCTAAGGGCAGTTAGGACAGAGAAGAAACCAGTATTAAAATGATAATTGAAAATGATGCCTTTGTTGAGGGTGTGGTGCCACCAGCAGGTCAATCTGTACCTGTGAGACGAGTGCATCAGCAGCATGATGGCACTTTCAGACCTCCAGATACCCGAATAATGCTTCTGTGCCTTTGGCCAGACCCCAAAAACTTGGGGCAAAGTTTACCAAGAAAGGAAACAGCCAAAAGTTAGGTATGTGTTAGACACACCCACAAACCACCTCCAGCTCAGCTATATAATTGGAGGCATGGCCTCTCTGGTTCCTGATTGAACTGCTTAATTGCCATGATCCCAGAGACTTAGAAACAAATCTCTAAACCAAACAGCTACTGGCAGAAATGCGTCCGGTCCCTGCAGTAGGTTACCAGGTGGGGATAGGTTTCAGCCTTTGCCTGTTCCCCCCTGGCGGCCTGGTGGCCATCATCCTCCAGAGATCACTGAACAGTCAGGTTTGGGTCCACATGACGAGGGCCTCATGAGATGGGGGTGGAGCCAGCCCTTTCCTCCCCATCCGAAAGAGGCCCCGAGTCGCGGCCTCTGTGGCTCCTGATCAAGTCACTTAATGGCCATGAGACTCAGAAAACTCAGAGACTCAGAAACAAATCCCAGAGACTCAGAAACAAATCCCAGAGACTCAGAAACAAATCTCAGAACCCAGCGGCTTTTGGCAGAAATGCTTCCAGACCCTGCAGTAGGTTACTGTTACCGGGCCACACCAGGGGGAAAAGGGCACTATCCCTCCGCCTGCTCCCCCTTGGCGGCTTGGTGGCTGCCATCCTCCAGAGGCCATTGGACAGTCAGGTTTGGGCCCTCAGTGACGAGACACTCAGGGCCTCACGGGATGGGGTTGGAGCTGGCCCTTTCTTCCTCACCACAAGAAGACTCAGAGTCGCCGCCCACAAATGGCCTCTCTGGCTCCTGATCAAGTTGCTTAAAGGTCATGATCCCAGAGACTCAGGAACAAATATCAGAACCCAGCAGGTTTTAGCAGAAATCCCTCCAGATTTAAAAGTTAAAATTTCAGAATTTCAAAATCCCCCGGCCACTACTGCAGCCATGTGACAACATATGTTATTCATAACTAGCAATAGAAAACAAATTGTCTACTGTTGCATTTTCGGCAGATCTTAGTGTTGGGGTAAAACTCCAAATACTAATGGTAGGTCTGGTGTCAAAATATTGAAGTAATCAAAGTATAGAGAGAGTAATTGGAAATCATCTGTCCCACAGGTAGGGGGAGGGTGGGGAATGGGGGTATACTGGGGTTTTTGGTGGTGGAGAATGGGCACTGGTGAAGATACGGGTGTTTCACTGTATGACTGAGACTTAAACCTGAAGGCTTTGTAACTGCTCATACGGTTATTCAATAAATAAAATTATAAAAAATGAAAAAAAAGTAAGGTGGAGTTCATTTCCAATTCAATCAGCCTAATCAGTGGCTGAATACATAGCAGTGTTCCTACATCACTGTCCTCCCATTGTTCATCGATTTGCTCGAGCGGGCCCAGTAACATCTCCATTGGAGACTTTGTTGTTACTGTGTTTGGCGTATCGAATACATCACGGGTAGCTTGCCAGGCTCTGCCATGCGGGCTAGATACTCGCTTGCCGGGCTCTCCAAGAGGGGCGGAGGAATCGAACTTGGGTCGCCCATGTTGGCTGCATGCAAGGCAAACGCCCTACCGCTGTGCTACATAAATAAATAAATAAATAAATAAATAAATAAATAAATAAATTTTTGTTGCTATGGAAAAAAAAGAAAATGATGCCTTTAGAAAGGAACTGAGTGTTGAAAGCAGGCTAAGGGTTATAACTGATAACCTTTCAGTATCTCAGAATCTGTGCTGCAAACCAGCATGTTGAAAGTAGAGAGAGAGAGAGGAGAGAAAAGAGGGGGGGGGAGAGAGAGAGAGAGAGAGAGAGAGAGAGAGAGAGAATAAACGTGCATACCATGGCGGATGGGGGAAAGGAAACTGGGGACATTGTGGAAATGTACACTGGTGACCTGGTGAAGGGATGGGTGTTGTAACATTATATGACTGAAACCCAGACATGAACAACTTTGTAACTGTACAACCCACTGCAATTCAATTTTAAAAAAATAAATTTTAAAAATTATTGTTTACCTAAAAATTGTACCCTAAGGAACAAATCCTAGTAAAATGTAAAGAGCACAAATTTTGAAATAATACAAAACAATGGTCTTATTTTGACCCAATGCACTGGCTGATATCCATGAGGACCTATATGTACTAGAGAAAAGAAATAAATTCCTTTATATACTGTTGTATAAATAAATTTATATAGATCCAATCTGCAGTCTTTTCTGAAGAAATCTCCTTTCTTTCTTATTTCAGTGTTCATCTCTAGTATAGCCTAGAATGCAAAATTAATTTTTAAAAAGAATAGAAAAATAAATTACTCCACATTTTAGTAGGATAAGCCACGTTCGTTAAATTTCACATGTGGAATCAAGCGGTGGGAGAGGATTTTGAAAGGATCACTAGCTCACCTGTGGCTGCCGTTCCATCAGTCGATTATGATACCTTTGCACAGAGTCTTGAAGCTGCTTTGCTCTCTCATGTTTCGATGCTGACACACTGCCCATGGTGCCGAGGGGGATAGAAGGTAAGCGTTGAACCCCATCACAACTTCTCAGTCAACAAGTGCAAGAAATCATGTCAGGAGGAAATATACGAGTATTTAGCATTTGTAGGAGTTGATTCAAGTCTACAGGGACTTTTGTTTTGTTTGGGGGGGAATACCCAGTGGTGCTCAAGGGTAACTCCTTGCTCTGCACTAAGCAATCACTCCTGGTGGGCTGAGGGGACCAACTGGATGGCAAGGACCAAACCTGTGTCACCTGTGGGCAGGGCAAGCACCTTACTCCCTTTACTATCACTCCACCCCCACTCTTTATATTTTATGCTTAAAGTTTAAGCAAGAGTTTTAAAATTTAATTCCTCAAGGTAATACATGACATTAAACTTGCAATTTGAATAGAAATGCATTAACAGAATATGCAAAGAGTGGCAGAGTTAGCAAAATGAGAGAATATTATTTATTATACCGCTTTCCTTTTCTTGAATTATCATAAAAAGAGACCTTGGAGAAAGTGTCTATTAGATCATGGAGCTTTGTCACTACTGTCACTGCCACCCGAAAACTGGGAAACAAATTCATACATCTTGCTAAAACCACAAAATGGTTTGCTTAATAATTGCAAAAATATTCTTGTTTCTTTAACACATGGATCGTTTTTAAAAAATTTCTTTTAAATTTTTTCAGTGAATCACTGTGACGTAGAGTTACAGACTTACAAACTTTCGTGCTTATGCTTCAGTCATACATGAATCTTTTATTTCCTGAGGATAACTCTGAAGATCAATGACCGTGCACTATAATAAGTATCCGGTGGACTCTAAGGGCCTGCTGATCCATTTGGAATCCAAATATCCCAATGCCATGTTGCAGAATCTTTCTTTCCCTGCTGTTGCCTGTGTATGTGTTTCTTGTAGTCATTTTCCTAGTCAGTCTAATTTATATGCTCTTTCAAAACACTAGCTGAAAAATCCTATATCTTCTATTTAATTAAGGCATTATATAAAAGAACAATATCTTTTTACACAATCAAGTAGAATTGTGTCTAAATGAGAATAAACGGGCCTTAGATGAGGCTTCCCTTGCTACTGTGACATATGGCTTGGAAGGTTTGAAAACTTTCCACCACTACTTCTGGTTTCAAGGCTATGTTCTAGCAAGCTGTTAGCCAGACTGTTGAAAAATTGAGATCATATATTGTTCACCTTGGCATCAAGGTTTATACGGGTAAGTTCAACACCTTCCACCATGGCTTTGATTGAAGGTAGAGCTGGGGAAGTGAGGTCATTTTATTTAGCATCTGCTTTACACAAAGATTCTTCTATTATTGATGGGTACCAAAAAAGATCTGGAAGGGACAAATTTCTATTAAATAAATATTTTATTTGCTAGAAAAGGGGAGAGGCAGTTAAGAATTGAGAGAGACTTCTCCCATCTGGAATAGCATAGGAAAAGTAAAGCAGCTCACATTCAGTATTTGTTTTCAGGGCTGAAAGAGGGATTATTTTTGCCCTCCACTAACAGAAGGGAATATGTGAATACAATCAAATACAAATACTACTGAAACAAATAAATGAAAACTTTAATCCAGTCTCCAATATGGTATTTTGTTAATTTTTTAAGACAGTAGGCAAACAAACCAGGTAACACCTGCTGTAGCCACCTGAAGGGTTCATTGTCAGACATCTGTTGAGTGCTTTTTCTATATAGCGTTTTATTTCATTTCAGAGAAGAACCCGTGGCAACATTAAGTTTCTATTTTAAAATACGAACCTCAAGAAATTTACTAAGGTAAAAGGTAAAGGCCCTCCCGTTGATCGTCGATTTGCTCGAGCGGGCCCAGTAACGTCTCCATTGGAGACTTTGTTGTTACTGTGTCTGGCATATCGAATACTCTCGGTAGCTTGCCGGGCTCTCCGAGAGGGGCGGAGGAATCGAACTCGGGTCGGCCATGTTAGCCGCGTGTAAGGCGAACGCCCTACCCGCTGTGCTATCACTTCAGTGGAACATTTTGAAAAAAAGGTGTTAATATTCAGCGTAACCCTCAGATAACTTTTAGCATCCTATTCAAAAGATTCAGTCAAAAGGTTGGCATGATTTCTACCTGACTGGTGATTCATATTTTTAATACAGATAAATGCATAAGAATAATGTAATGAGAGAGTGCTGATATTATTTCTTGAGTAAAGTTTAGTACTACAAAAATTCTGTGGTTTAAGAAAGAAACGCTTCATTTTACCCTCTTGGGATTCTAATGCTACCATTTGCAAAATGATGTGTTTCATTTTTATTTAGTTTCTGTTGTTGTTAGGAGAGGGCACACCCACTGGTGCTCAGGCCTTACTGCTGGCTCTGTACTCTGGATCAGACCTGGTGGCGTTCAGAAGACCAGATTGGTGCCAGGAATCAAACCCAGGTTGGCCGGGTGCAAAGCAAGTACTTTATCCACTGTACTATCTCTCCAGCTCCTTTACAAAAATGCATGTTTATTTATTTTGTTTTTAAATGGTGTGCTTTAACCATGAAGTATTTAACTGTAATTACTCTTCTTGAATGTAAAAGTATATCAGCTTCAGAGAGCGGGTGTGTCAAGGTGAAAAAAAAAAACAGGCTTTGCATCAAAATGCAAAGTGTCTTTGAGCTTCAGCTCTAGGACAGAATCCTGTAAAAGTCTTGGATGACCTTTCTTACTTTTATTCTTTTGTTCTCTGACAAATGAAGAAAAATCACAGGATTATTATAATATGAAATAACTGATTTTATTGCTATGTACAAAAGAGCTAAGTATTATGTTTCCCATTCTTACTACAAACAATATTTATTCAAATGTTGTCCATACATATTGACCTTGTGACAATTTGTAATTAACTACTGACAATAAATTATGTTTTCTGTAAATATAGACAAGGCCAGTTTTCTTTTTAACTTTTTTTTATCGAATCACTGTGAGATAGACTATTACAAAGCTGTTCATGATTGGATGCAGTCATACAGTATCTCAACACCCATCCCTCCACCAATGTACTTTTCCCAGCACCAGTGCTCCCAGGTTCCCTCTCATCTACCCTTTTCCCACACACACACACACACACACACACACACACACACACACACACACACACTGCCTGCTATTATGGCAGGTGCTTTTCTTCTCTCTCTCTCTCTCTCTCTTTCTCTCTCTCTCTCCCACTCCCCCCTCTGTGTGTCTCTGTCTCTCTCTGTCTCTGTGTCTCTATCATTCTCCTTTTGGGCACTGTGGTTTGCAATATTGATACTGAAAGGTTATCAAGAATATCCCTTACCTACTTTTAACCCTCAGGTCTTGTCCAGCATGATATTCCCAGCTATTATTGTCATACTGGTCTCTTCTCTATCTTACCTACCCTCAGCCCTTCACAAACTTGTGGCTAGTTCCAACCACTGACCGGTCCTCCTAACCCCTGTTTGCCCTGGCCATGGATATTATTCTTTAATTATATATATATGTATATATATACATATATATCACAGCGATAGCACAGCGGTAGGGCGTTTGCCTTGCATGCAGCCAGCATGGCCAATTCGAGTTCGATTCCTCCGCCCCTCTCGGAGAGCCCGGCAAGCTACCGAGAGTATCCGATATGCCAGACACAGTAACAACAAAGTCTCCAATGGAGACGTTACTGGGCCCGCTCGAGCAAATCGACGATCAACGGGAGGGCCTTTACCTTATATCACAAATGAACACTGTCATTCTATATCTGTCCTTTCCCTCTGACTCATTTCACTCAGCATGATACTCTCCATGTGACAAGGCCAGTTTTCACTGCATTACTCTGTGCTTCTATTTAATGAATGTTGCCTGATCACTAACTGTACCTGAATACATTTATTTCATGTGATTCTATCCAAATCAATAGTACATATGTATCCGTGTTTTGTATAACAAATATTTTATCATATATTCTTAAAATATACATGATCCATCCTATCATATTGAGTTGGAAGAATGAATGAGGTCATGAGATCATTTTTTCTCTTCCCTTGAAACCATATCTACATTGTTATGATTAACTTGTCTTACAACAAAGGACAACTTAACATTCAAGTAACTGCCCTTATAATTAGTTTTTCCTTATATTATCCCGATATCTTCTGTCAAACTTACTTTTTATCATAATTTTTCAGAGGAAATGAAAAACAGTACTATATCAGTATTTGTAAAGAATTAAGGACTCAGGACAATTTTATATATAAGGGAACTTCGTGTCATGAAATTCACTTATAAATGGATTGACATGGAGTGTATCATGCTGAGAGAAACCAATGAGAGGGAGAGAGACAGATAAAAATTGATTATACTCGTTTGGGGACTATACAAAAACATAGTAGGAGACTATTATCTGGTAACAGTAGAAACAAAGGTTGAGAGGACTGATCGATAGTTGAAAACTTGCTACAAGTGGTGGAGGGGGAGGGCAGTTAGGATAGAGAAGTCCACTATGACAATGATAGCTGGAAATGATCACTCTAGATAAGAACTGGAGTGCTGAAAGCAGATAAAGGGATAAACATGATGACTTTTCAGTACCTATAATATAAACCATAATTTTCAGACAGAGAGGAGTGGGGGAGGGGGGGAGAGAGAGAGAGAGAGAGAGAGAGAGAGAGAGAGAGAGAGAGAACCGGCCCCATTGGTGGTGGGAAATGTACATTGGTGAAGGGATAAGTGTTAGAACATTGTATGACTGACATCAATCGTGAACAACTTTGTAAGTGTGTATCTTATGGTGATTCTGTCACTGTCACTGTCTTCCCGTTATTCATTAATTTGCTCGAGCGGGTCCAGTAACGTCTCCATTGCGACAATTGTTACTGTGTTTGGCATATCAAATACATCATGGGTAGCTGGCCAGGCTTTGCCGTGCGGGCGAGATACTCGGTAGCTTGCCGGGCTCTCCGAGAGGGGTGGAAGAATCGAACTCTAATGGTGATTCAATTTTAAAAAAATAATAAAAAGACAAGTTCTTACATTTTTAAGATTTTTAAGGTCCATCAATTTTCTGTCAACATGGCTAAATATACCTTCCTTGTTATGACAAGTGGCACTGCTTTGATGTTTAAAAAAGAGCCAGAATTGGTGTAGTTTTGAAACTAAAGCAGGCAGGCAGGTAGTAAGGAGGTCGGTGGCAATGAATACTTGGGATGCTATAAAACCAAGACGAGATTGAAAGTTACTCTCTCACTAGCTCTGAAGTTGCTAAAAACAATATTGCTGGACCTGCTTTGTGGTCACTGGAGCTAAGGCCTGAGAGAACTTTAACTGGTGCCAGAGATGGTCTACCAGAAGCCTTGACCCCCGACCCCTTGGTAGAGGACCAGCTTCAGCAGAAACAAAAATCTGTGATAAGAACATGGAGGAGGATCATCAAAAGTATAAAGCTCTTTCTTTATGACAATACCCTATTCTACATTCATGCCCACAGAAAGCTCCAGGCCAAGACAACCTGAAAAATATCCATATATAAGGCAATCCTAACAGTTATTTGAGACTCAGTCCACCCTGACAAGTTTGCATTTTCTCTTGAATGTGCTACTCCCATTAGTTACTCTTTTTCCTCCTTATCTCCCCTTACTATACCTCTAAATGAAAGCTGTCTTTACTTCGCTATCTCATCTCCTACAGACATTTTTTTCTGTGAAGGCAATGGATAAAAACGTTTGGGTAAGTCCTAGGACTGACATTCCTTTCCTGCAAAGAGCAATTCCTAGCTCCAGGCTGAGTCCACAGCTCCTGAAAGATCAGGTGGTGGGAATCATCTCCCATGCTGCACAGAACACGTGCACGTCAGGAGCAAACTGCTGCTCATGGGACTGGCAGGCTGTGAGTGTCTATACCATGCAGGGGCTCACAGCAGACTTTCGCTAGTCCTAAATCTCCTAGATGCTCCCCAGATGACAACAGAAGGAAGGCAGTGAATTTCCTTCTCAAGACTGCTGCCTCCCTCTTCCCATCTCACATAAGCACCCAGGGAAACCCCAACACAAAGCTAATTTTATAATGCCTATGGTGGCATCACCATTTTCAGATATAGAAGAGGATGAGCATGTACCAACTTAAGGACCCTCGTTAGATGGAGATGAGGGAGGCTGTAAAGGTCAGTTTCACTGCTCGGTAGATCAGACAATACCCAAAACTAGCCTGAGAGGTCACAGACATATGATTCTATCCTGGAGAGAGGCCTAAAATTCGCATGGCCTAAAATTCGCATGGCCTGTTATCAAGAGAGGCCACCTGATCAGCACTTTAGAAGATTGTTCTCACAAGAAAGTGAGCTGGACTCAGAATAAAGATGCATCAGGTACTATTATTATGCTCTCTAGTAGGTGATGGGAAGACAAGAGATAAAGAAGGCTTGTCATTTGCCTCAGGTTTTCAGCTAATGGAGCCAGGAGTCAAAACTGGACATTCTGGGCCCAGAGCCTGAACTCTATTATACACTATCCTATAATGTATTAGAAGTTTTCAGGTTATAGTAAATTATCAATTTCATAAATCTTTCTGAGTACTGAAACTGAGATAACACTCTGTTTCCATTTGATAAATATCAAATGGAAATTTAGAGATGGAATTGAGTTAGGAATCAGAAGACTCTAGCCAATGACTTCATAAACAGTTTTCTCACCCCTGTAGGAGAATTCATTCTCATTTCTCTAAAATAAAGAAGACTAGATCAGTGCAGACAGACTTTTATATAGAAAGTAGAGAATAACACTGGGAAGCAGCTGACCTCTGTTTCCCAGTCTCGAATTTGATCAGGATGATGCTGCATTTACCTACTTTTTATAGTTGGTATCTGAGAGAGATTTATTTATTTGTTTATATATTGGAAAAAAATACAAGTTTACCTGCAAACCAATAAAGGAGATTGAAAAGCCCTGGGCTAAGTGAAATCTAAAAGTCATTGAGACTCTGATATTCTTTAGTCTCTAAACACAATTAACCTGTGGGTTACAGGTAGAGTTTTAGTAGCAATTCTTAAATGTTTTTCTATTTTTAATTTTTTAATTCTTGTTCTTTTTTCCCAAGAATAGATAGAATTAATCAAATAAGAGTTATTATACTAATATCTATTTCAGTGATAGTGATCTACATAACCAGGGCTAAGAAATTAGTATAAACTTCATAGAAAAGCAATACTTGACACAGGGGTTCCATTTGCAGGAGAGAAATACTAAGTTTCCTCTTTTCTCCAGGGAAAGAATGTAAGTCTAAAAGGGATTGCAATAACATTGACATTCATCAATATTTAATAGGTATTTTTCCTGTCTTAGTCTGAACACCTTCCCCCAAAAGCACAAAGCAACAAAATCAATATATGACTTAAATAGAAAAATCTCATGGCATAACAATTTAGTGCTCTGGAGACACCCTCTGGATAAGATTACTGCATGATAAGGTTGTATGTCGTGTGAAAATGAACTGGAAGACTGAACCCTTAAATGTTAGGTCGTGATCTCCTGCCAGTGGAAGCTCTGAGTTGCACACCTCAGTGCTTGTGGATTCATATCTATGTCTCTTCTTTCTTGAGGGAAAACTATACTAATAAAATACTTTCTCCACATGGCAAGGGGCTGCAAAGAGTTGAAGGAACTGACATCCACTAAGTCAAAATCCATATATAGACAGCATTTTCTAGTTTCATAAATTTGTATTTTAAGAACTAAAGAATTGATAAGAAATTTTATAGAACCATAAAGGGTTACCTGTTTTCCAAGAGATTGGGGTTATTTGCACAAATCCAGATGTCAACAGATTCTTTGTCCTGGTAATTAGTAGATGTAGGCAAAACTCTCCATTTAAGGCAAAGATCTGAGAAAAACAAAATTACATGTAAGAAAAACACCATCAGAAGTGAATGTATCAAAGTAAAATGCCAGGTTGCAGATATCATAAGTATGAAGTATCTTTTGATCCAAAGACAAATAAATCATTGATCATTTATTATATGTATTTGATGGCATAAATACTCTTAAATTCTATGAAAGCACCAACAAAGTATAAATATAATAATTATTAACAAATTTCCTTTCGAAAGAATCTTAAATAATAGGCCATTTCACTTTCTAGTCTACATAAAGACTTCCAGTGAGTGGGCTCTTCATTTGCTCTCACCTATTATCTTCTGACAATACCACACTTTCTCCAAACATACAACACAAGGAAAATCTAACACTCAGAATAATTCACGCAGTTCCTTCTATACTTTTCTTTCTGTTTCTATCCAGTCTCCAGTCTATATTTTAAAATGTTTTTTCATTTCTCCGTTATAGTTTTTCCTAACCTTTATGACTAAGGTCTTCTATTCTCTCCAGGATACTTTTAACTTTATCCTTGATTCCCAGAGAGGTAATGGTTCTCTAAGTAAATACTGCTCTCCATTCATCTAAGATAGGTAAGTAAGGAAAATGGCTAAGAACATGAATAGATTGTACAGTGCCAAGGGAATCACCTCCCCAGCCTTGGCAGAGGTTGACTAAATTAGTGAATCGAATTAGTCAGATGTAGGAGTCAGGTAGCTCAGTAAGTGATGATTTGGAGAAGAATGAAGAAAAGGGAAATGTCATACCTCTGTTGAGACTATTGTCAAAATGTTAGGATCCAGGTTAAGAAACTGAAAATGTCCAAATAAGGGCATGGTAGTGAAATATAAGAGGAAAGTGAGTGAGAGATATATAAAAGGTAGAACTGAGGAAATGAACAACTGCATGCAACAACCAGCTGATACTAAAAACAATGACTAAAATTTACTGCAGTTTACATGCTACAGTGTAGTTCTGTTTGTCTTTCCCATTGGAAGACATATTCCTTACAGATAGTGGAGACCGTGTTTAACTTCCTACCCCTTTGTATAATGGCTAGAACATGTGCCAGAAGCTCACAGTAAGTGTTCAATGTTTCAATATTATTCTCTTACTGAGAAACTTCCAATGTCTCTAAATTTTATTTCAGAATTAAAAAACTCCTTATCTTGGCATCTGAAGTCCTCTAACATGTTTACTCAACCTAATATTTTGTCTCTTATTATTTATTCATTATTCATTCAGTACTCAATCACTAAGAACCAAGAATGTATTAAAAATGGCTTTAGGTATTATAAAACTAATAAATAACTGCTCCTATTATTTATTACAAATTTTTTAGCTGAAGTATCCACCTGATAGGAATGCAAGTTTTCTACTACATCTCTATCAATGTTCTGTTTCAAAGACAAAAATAAACAGCAAAAGTTGATTCTGTCATGAATTTTTTTTCAACTTCTTACTCCTCCCTTTCTTTGAGACTTTAGAGGCTAGGGAAATAGTACAGTGTGTGGGAAGGTTGCCTTGATTGTGGCTGACCTAGTTTGATGCCTGGCACCTCATATAGTCCCTTAAGAACTGCCAGGAGTGATCCCTAAGTGCAGACATAGGATCAGAGCACCACATACTGGACGGGACGGGACGGGACGGGAAGGGAAGGGAAGGGAAGGGAAGGGAAGGGAAGGGAAGGGAAGGGAAGGGAAGGGAAGGGAAGGGAAGGGGGAAGGGGGAAGGGGGAAGGGGGACAGAAAAGCAAATCACAGGAAAGCAAAGCAAAGGGAAAGGAAAGGACTGGGCAGGAAGGGAGGGAGGGAGGGAGGGAGGGAGAGAGAGAGAGAGAGAGAGAGAGAGAGAGAGAGAGAGAGAGAGAAAGAAAGAAAGGAAGGAAGAAAGGAAGAGAGTAGAGAGATAGTGAGGGAAGAAGTGAGGGAGGAAGGAAGAAGGAAGTTCAAAGAATTCTGTGCTATGCTTCCTTTATATCACTTATTCACCTCTATTATTATTATTATTATTATTATTGTTATTATTATTATTAATTGAATCACCATGAATTGAAAAGTTTCAAAGTTATTTATGACTGGGTTTCAGGTGTACAGTGTTCTAATGCCAATTCCTTTACAAGTGTCCATATCCTTCCACCAGCGTGCCCAGTTTTTTTTCTGCCTCCCAATCTGCTTCTGTGGCAGGCATTTTTTACTTTCAGGCACTGTTATTAACAATGGTGGTACTGATAGAGTATCATGCATAATATTTTACCTCTTTCCAGTCCCAGTCCTCACCCAGAGTGACCACTTCCCTGTATCATTGTCGAAATGGTCCCTTCCTTAACCTCCCCCTCTCCGCAAAACAGTAGCAAGCTTCCTATTCAGGGCCAGTTCTTTTTACTCTTTGATATTATAACTTATGAATAACATTTTCATCCTTATCTTAACCTCTTTTCTGGATCAAAACTCACTTGAAAAACAAATATTTCTTACCTAGTATCTTCGTCTTCCTCCTATGTCATTTTTAAGGCACAATGACATGCATATAGAGAAAATCAAAATATCTGGTAACTAAAATGAAACTCAATCCTCACCGCACTGAATGATGAATGGGATAGCCATAGCTTGTCTTCTTTGACTGTGAATAGAATCAAAATATTTTCCAGTATTTTCATTATTCTGGTTTCCAAACTCATTCCAAAACAATGTGAGATTTCTGTTACCTAAAAATAAAGAAAGCATACAAGGGCTATGAAAATGCAGAACGTAATAAAGAAAATTAAAATGAAATCAAAATGCAAGCATAGGAAAGTTTGGCTATAAATACATGGATATGCAATATGTATTCAACTAAGTTAAACAGATTCATATACAAAAATAAGAAATTAAGATATATTTTGGTTTTCTCTAAGTATAGTGAAATTTGCTTTCTGCTTGCTACTTTCTTACAATTTCCAAAATATATATAACAAATATGCAATGGCTTTATAATAAAATAAAATTTTAATAGCAGCTATAAGTACATATATATGGACTTTTATTGTTTCAATAAAATACATTGACATTTAAAACTTTTTTTCTTAAAATACTCCCAAGAGAAAATGTACTGATTAAACTTAAAGGTCAGCCTTAACACTCTGATACATATATTTATCATCCTTGTCTCACAGTTAAGAGTTTCTTTATCTTTATTTTATCTCTGGTTCCATTTCCTGAGTCTCTATTATTTATGCCCTATCCTCATCCTAGATTATATATTATCTCTTTGCTTAAACACAGCATGTACTATAAAATATAATTCATAAATACTCTTTGAGGGGGTCACTGTCACTGTCCTCCCGTTGTTCATTGATTTGCTCAAGCAGGCCCAGTAACATCTCCATTGTGATACTTGTTACTGTGTTTGGGGAGGGTATGTCCTATTTGACTTAGAAACTGTACTGCTAGTGCCCACAGATATCACAATATTATCTGAAGAGCAGAGTGATAAATTTATACATTGCATAATGTATAATGTACAATATATACATTTAGCATAGCGGGTAGGGCGATTGCCTTGCAAGTGGTTGACCTGGCTTCAAGTCCTTCGTCCCTCTTGGAGAGCCCAAAAAGCTACGGAGAGTATCCCGCCAGCACGACAGAGCCTGGCAAGCTCCTCGTGGCATATGCAATATGCCAAAAACAGTAACAAGTCTCACAATTACTGGTGCCCACCCAAGCAAATCGATGAACAATGGAAAGACAGTGCTACAGAGAGTGCTATAAAAAATATACACATAAAATTGTGATGGATATACTTATATTTTTCTCAAATATAAAAAATTAAGTTTTAATAGTGCTTTTAATAGAAAAGAGACAATGGCATTTTTTTAACTTTTAACATTTTAAACAGTTTGATATGTACATTTTTTTATTTAAAAATGTGTCATTATTATGCTATTATTCAATAACCCATAGCCATATGCAGTTAATGAGCATCTGAAACAGAAAATATAGAAAGGTTTTACATCATACCGATACAAAAAGTGAGGTTATAACATATAAACCTTAGAAATAAAATATGTAACATAAGAGGTTCTACGACATTCCTAACATACAACTTTAATCAGTGCAAAATACAAATGATCATCCTTAGACCTTACTATCACTGTTTAAGTTTAGATTCAGGATACTATGTGCCCTTAAGATCAGCAGGAAGGGGAGTCAGTCTTATGACTGAGCGGGTCTGACACCTCCCTCACAAATTCTCAGGCCTTCATTTCTGCCTTTTCACAAAGTTCCTAATAGAGATGTCTTCATATTTCCCCTTTATTCTGTTCTTTGGGTTGTTCTCAACTCAGATTTTCCGTTTTCTGTTGATTGTTCTGCATCTCGTCATGGCCCGCTTGACTCAAATTCTCTGAACACTAGATCATGAAAATTCCTTGGAATCTGGATAGAAATCCTGAGGCCTCATTCTCTGATTTCCACAGGAGCTAGATAGTTCTTATGATGTCAGGGCAGAAGATGTTGTAAACTAAAGTCAGGGGACTCCAAGTTTTAAATCTGTCACACATTAATGGTGTAATTGTGTGGGAAACCAATAAACTTTATTACCCACAAAGCATTACAACTTGCCTTGTAGGGTTATCATAAAGAATGAAAGTGAAAGCACATTTAAAAACAATACTGTCTTGCACAAATTTTGCTGTATTGTATTTTTCCTCCCTCTAAGTGTCATTTCCTTGAGAAGATCGTAACTTTTCAAAGGAAGAATGGTGGGTTATAACGAAGCATGCCCTGCACATAAAGCTCAGCATTCTGTACTTAACAACCTTTGCAAAACACTGCTGATTCTCTTGACGAAACACCTCATTACTGTGCTATTTGGGACAAAATGAAGGTGAATAAAGACTCTCCTTGAAAATATTAACTAAACACTGTGTTAACATAAAATAAAAACCAACCGTGAACCCCAACATCAACATTTTAAGAGGGGTAAAAGTACGAGGATTCTAGAAATATACACACATACACTCCTCAGGGGGTGGGGTGATAGTTGCTCTGTGATCACACCACTCATAATGCTGACACACTGCATTTTAGTTCAGTTTATTCCTATTTTCCCCTTTATAGACAGTGGCTATATTTAAAGGTGGTTTTCAACAATTGACACGTAAAGCTTCACTTACTCTTACTTGTAACAGTAAACAATACCAAAGAATTACTGGTTATCAAAGGCAGAAATTGGGACATTCATCAATCCAAAAACCTAATGACTAGACTGAAAGAAGGTCCAATACTATTCAAGGTGGCTATCAGGGCAAAGTCATTCAGCAGTTTTTTACTCTGGAGGGGTCAGAAATTTGTTTTTTAACTGACAGTGAGCCTTAATTTTTACCCTCGGATAGAAGTTATTCCCCCCTGCATACCTGGCTTACATTTGTGTTTCATATTAGTAAAACAAGTGTCCAAGGAGTGGCCCCTAAAGACCAAGTTAAGTTTCAGCAAGTTGATAAATACACTGGTTATAGAGATGACAGTACGAAGAAAACATACAATATCAGTTTCTATTTTCTTTTATGTGGGCTGGAGCGATGGCGCGGCGGTAGAGCATTTGCCTTGCACGCAGCCAACAAGGCCAACCCGAGTTCGATTCCTCTGCCCCTCTCGGAGAGCCCGGCAAGCTACCGAGAGTATCTCGCCCGCACGGCAGAGCCCGGCAAGCTCCCCATGACGTATTCGATATGCCAAACACAGTAACAACAGAGTCTCCAATGGAGACGTTACTGGGCCCGCTCAAGCAAATCGATGAACAACGGGAGGACAGTGGTTTTCTTTTATGCATTTGTCTGTAGAAGATTTATATAGCTAACCTGAGCGGGGGGGAAATTTATTTCCATACAAAGGAACTCACTTGAGCCTAACAGTAGATTTTTCAGCAGAAACCTCTCAGGTCAATAGAGACAGAGGTAACTTTTAGTGCTGAAGCAAAACAAACTGTCAGACAAGAGTAGTTAACTGGGCAAAGCTGTCCTTCATTAATGAAGAGATTGAAAAAAAAACTCCCCAAACAAAAGTTAAAGGGGATCTCATTACCATGATATCTATCTGCATTATAAGAAATGCTAAAGGGAGTCCTTAAAGCTGAAATAAAAGTACACTAATTAGAAATGCTAAAATAAATATAAAACTCACTGACAAAGCTAAGTATATAATTAAATTCAGAATATGCTAATAATATAACAGTGAAAAATCACATCACTTAACTCTAGTAGGAAAATATAAAGTAAAATATAAATGCATTAATAATGCATTCACAATAGGTAGGTAGGTAAAGGCCCTCCCGTTGATCGTCGATTTGCTCGAGCGGGCCCAGTAACGTCTCCACTGGAGACTTTGTTGTTACTGTGTCTGGCATATCGAATACTCTCGGTAGCTTGCCGGGCTCTCCGAGAGGGGCGGAGGAATCGAACTCGGGTCAGCCATGTTGGCCGCTTGTAAGGCGAACGCCCTACTCGCTGTGCTATCGCTCCAGCCCAATAATTCTTAATTATATATTATATAAAAGGGCTGGAGCGATAGCACAGTGGGTAGGGTGTTTGCTTTACACACAGCCAACCTGAGTTCGACTGCTCTGTCCCTCTTGGAGAGTCCAGCAAGCTACCAAGAGTATCTCGCCCACATGGCAAAGCCCAGCAAGCTACCTGTGACGTATTCGATATGCCAAACACAGTAACAACAAGTCTCACAATTTGTTGTGAGATGTAACTGGTGCCCACTCGAGCAAATCAATGAACAATGGGAGGACAGTGCTACAGTGCATATTATATAAAACATGAAAATTGTTAACCGAAACCAAAACAGGTGTGTTGAGATGTAGTAGAAAGGATTTTTTTCATGCAATGCAAGTTGTTATTATAATGCTAAAATGGACTATGAGACACTTTGTGTAGGCCAATGGTTATTGTGACAAAGCAAAATCCCTTAGTAGATATAAAAATATGATAAAAGATTTAAAGCACAGTAGTATTAAAAAATCATCTCACAAAAGAAGACAATAAAAATGGAAGGAAGAAAGGAACTGCAAAACGGAGGAAAAGTTTTAAAAACAGCCTAAGTCCTTTTCTCTTAGTAAATATTTATAGGCTGAAGAGTTAATTCAAAAGGCTGAGGCATGCTCTACATGCAAGAAAGCTGGGTCCAACCCCAGCAACACTAGGAGACACCTCAATCACAGAAGCAGGCACCGGTGGGTTGGTCCGAAAACCAAAATGAAAAACACAAGGTATATGAGATGAATTAAATTCACAAGATATAAAGTGGCTGATGACTATATTGCTGCCTATAAGATATTCATTTCAGTTTTAATGACACATAAAGCTCAACGTGAAGGGATAAAAAGTATATATTTCATGCAAATTTAAATTAAAAGAGGACAGGAATAGTTATACTCACATGCGAGTGTGAATACACACATAGAAATACACCAATATCATACTAATATATGAAGCAAATTTTAACAGATCTGAAGTCGATAGTAATGCAATAATAGTAGGGGACTTATTTATCCCAGTTTAGACAATGAATTGATTGTCCAGAAGAAATCACAAGGAAATAAAAGGGTTGAAGGTCAAATCAGGCTAGCAAATATACATACAATATTCCACCTAGTATCAGAAGAATCTACATTTTTTGATATTTATTTTATTGAATCACTATGAGATAGAGCATTACAAAATTG